AAAAAAAAAAAAAATTAAAAAATGAGAAAGTAAATGAAGAGGAAGTAAAAAGGAGCACAAAGAATCCATCAATATAGGCCACACTGGTCTTTCAAGGGTGTAGCAGATGATAATTGAAGGTTAAATGCTCATCAATTAGGTACATTTTTGGCAATCTTACTTATGGATAAACTATATTGAGAAACAAATCCTTACAATAGATTGTGAGTAATGTAGCTTTGTTTTGGTTGAAAATAATGTAAAGTATCGGGTTCTATAAGAAAGAACTAAAAACATAAGGAATTTAGCACACAATTCAAAGAAATCTTAGTTCAAAATATCCAGCGTACTCTCACAAATACTTGCTTTCCTAGCACCGATTCACACATACAGAAAATGATCACAATTCAAAAATCTGAGTATCATTTGGCTATAAGAAGCAGGGTATTAACTCCAGTTCAAAATGCTAAAAATAGAATTTGAACTACATTAGTAGAAAACACTAAACAAATAGTAGTGGAGCTTCGAATGTGATTTATCTTTTTCTAGTCACTTTCTCCAAGGGCCTAAATCTACTGGTTGATTCTTAAAATACACAACTGAGAGGAGACTCAAAGAGTTAGGATTTCACAATGCTAATCACGTCTTACTTTATCTCTAAATCAATGTTCTCTCTCATAAAAGGCATTAGCACCAGAAGATACATTCTCATTGCAGTTTATTTCAGACTCTTAGTAATAATTCTTCACCAAATATTTTGTTGCGTTCAATCTCATAAGACCTTCAAACTTGTGGTATTCTTAACAGAGACTAAATTATGAGTATACCCAGCAACATTTGAAATATCTAATTGTATATAGCAAATTGTAGGATATTAGCTTATAACTTTAGCAGTTAGATAAGATTCTCCTATAACGTCCAATTGGTTTTACACATTGGAAGACATAAATGACATAAAATTTGAAACTAAAGAATAATTTTATATTTATCAAGCATTGATGTATTGAGAAAACATGAAAAACACAAATGACATGCTTCATCAATTTTACAGATTCTAGTATCCCAAATATATATTCCACTCTTTCCACTTCAGAACAAAGTTCAAAAATTATTCATTGGATTATTGTTTTGAAGATTTGGAATTAGACGCCAAAGAGAAATATTTTGGCAAAATGAAAGAGTGGGGGTCAGTGTCCCGTCACATAGGATTGACACGGTCGCTGAATTGCAATTATTAAATAAAAAGTAGGACACAACAGCGGTGTTCGACATGTTGAGAACTAAGTAATGGTGTTCAAGTGAAGGTTCATCAGTTTACGTAATTAAGTAATATCTCTAATAAAGAAGCCTAACCCAAAGTAATTGCAACATACTAAAGCTTTTTAATGTATCATAGTGGAAACAAGAAATGAGTAATTTTATGTCGTAGTAATCAATCTAACACGAAAGAGCCATGCCTAGAATGTCTAGTCAGGCATTTTCTTTCTACCACCAGATTTCTTTGCATGAAACAAACTATAACATAGAGAATAACCAAATAGATCGGTCCGGTCAATTTGTGCATAAAAACGCAATATGTCTCATCTACCTTCATATACTGAATTCACCTTCAAAACAACCTTATGGTTGGCATTTTATTACAGTTCTCATTGAAGAATAATTCAGACCAAAAATATGTCAGTACTACCACTCTGTAGCTCTCCTTGCTAAATCCTGATAACCATGCCAAGGACCAATAAACCATAACCACCAGCTAGATGCTCGGGTCCCTTTCTAGAGGAAATACATATTACCGTGAAATGATACACCTAATTAACATATTGCCTGCATACGAGTTTGGCTATCTGTGTCCCAGAGGATTAAGTATCGCGAGTGTGAATTTTATGAAAAAGCATAAAAGAATATGGAGTCAATGAATCCAACAGTGTCATCTCAGAAGGAATATGAAATAAAATCAATAAAGATATCGTTACTTCACCAACTTTTCAAACAATACTTCTATTAATGCACCTATTTCAAGTGTTATTATAGCTTTAAGCATCAATCTGCATTCTCTCAAACATCTATGTCCAGTTGAATCTATGTTGCTCGGGCTCTTCAAACATATTGATGGGTGCGTGTCGGATCCTCCAAAAGTCGTGCATTTTTGGAGGATCCTGCACGGTGTGACAATATATTTGGAGACCGAGCAACATACTTGATAAATAAACCAAGCCAGAAGCTATAGTATCTTGACACAAAAATAGCAGGATTTCCTCATTAATTGGCTAATAAGAAATAAAGTAGCCATTACCTTTTAAGAAGAAGTTATGTACTTAAAACAATGGTGCTATGTGACTATGTCACGACGACAACATCATTCAACAATTCTCATTAGTAAGGGCTTTACTTGATGGGGAGCACAAGTAAAGTAGCCAAGTTGCTACATCATGTTCAACTAAGAGAAATAATTGGATGCCAAGGAAATTTTATCGCTGAAGCATCAGGAAACGTAATACTATTCAGTAGTATCAAAGAGTTTCTTTCGAGTACTAGTAAAAGAAAGCTTTAACATTGTATATAGGAATTTTAAAGAATATGGAAACAAAAAGATCGAACTATTACCAAAAGTTATCCAAATTCTACCTGTCTATCAATCTTCTTCGGCTCAACTGGTTCACTCGCCTTAACTTGGGATACCGACACCAACTCTTCAACCTTCTTCGGTTCCAAGAGTGAAACTACATTCTTAAGCATAACAAGTTGTTCTTCAGAAGGAACATCCATCACAGCCCAAATCTCCCCACCGTCTTCTTTCAACTCAAATCCAACAAATTCCAATAGCTCCACTCCTCCTACAACATCACCTATAGCCTCTTTTATTTTTGGATTCCCCATCCTTATTTTCCTAAACTTGGCATTCTCTGGTTCCTTCACAATATTCTTTAACAACTTAATGACCACTTCAACTGACCCTTCTGAGGGCTTCCCTGAAACATATGCACTAACACATGTTTCCAATTCACTTTTAACTTCAGCTTTACTTTCAACTCCCAAATTAGAAGACACTTCAGAACTTAAACAGCTATCAATATGAGTTGACACCTCTTCTTCAGAAACAAAACCACTACCACAGACAGGGCATTCAAACACATTAGTAAGTGAATACCCTTCCGGGTTTTTCTTCCCAGAAGTGATCAATTCACCATATGGATCAAAACCGTCCTTTGATTCACTTTTGTTGACCTGAATTTCACATTTATTCACAATTCTTTGATCAGAATTACTTGATTTTTGAGGCGATATTTTTGTGCATGAAAGTTGTTGATTCTGCCTTGTATTTAGGGGATGTGATGAAAAATTATTGACATGATTTGAGGGTCCTGAAGAAGATGAACCACCCAAAACTCTACCTTGGCCTTTAAACTTACCTGAAGAAGAAGATGCGACTTTTTTCATGAACCCTTTGACTTTATCCTTCATGTCACCCATTTTTCAATAACACCCTCTCACCAAACTCTGTCAATCAATCAATTCAAACCAAATTCAGGAACAATTCCACCTCTCTATATATAGAGGTGGGAAATTTCCTTAGATCTCCTTGTGTTTTTTGTGGAATTGAGATGGGAATCTTTTCTGGGGCTAAGAAATGTAAAGAACAAGGTTTTCTGGAAGGATGGCTTTGGAGGTGGATCCGTGGAAATTGGGAAGAAGAAGCAATGAGAAATTGGAAGTGGGGTTTGTGAAAGAAATCTGATATTGGATTATGTTATTGCTGGCGCGTTTGGGTGGAATATTCTTAAACACGGGATATTGGAATATGGAGTTGTTCAATGTGCTGTGTTTGCCACCTCGGCATCTAGAAGTGGGTCCCACGGTATGTGTCTTTGGGGTTTGGTATATTGATTTTGGAAAAAAGATTCAAATTTGCCCATAAATTTTACAATATGATCTACATTTATACCTGTTAATCGGGCCGGGCTGATCCGTTTATAACTCGGTTCAGCCCGGTTCAGTCCGGTATTGTAGCGTGGGGGCGGACTGGGACGGGTTGGGCGGGGAGCGGATTTCAAACGAACAGTTTTTTGATACCGGTACACCAGAACCCGCTAAGCCCGTTAACCTAACTGAAACTCCTGATATTGACACTTGTATTTCTAATCTACACAAACATTTTAAAATATTATATAATTATTATGCTAATATTGTTGATGCTTCTTCTGCTGTAGATGCAAATATTCCTTCAAGTTCAGTTTTAACATGTGGGACCAGTACTTTGGATGATAATGATGGTGTTGAAGATTATTTGATTTGGTCTACACTAGGGGAACATCAACAAACCAGTAGCAGGAATATTGATGAACTTCAATTCTACTTGCAAAAGTCATCACAGCCCCGCACAAAGGAATTTCTACCACTGGGTTGGTGGAGGAGCAACTCAAATAAATTTCCTGTTCTTTCGGCCATGGCTCGAGACGTGCTAAATGTGCCGATTTCAACAGTCGCATCAGAGAGCGCATTGAGCCAAGCAAGGCAGCAACTAGGAGATACCCGTCATTCATTGGGTAGCAACGCTTTGGAAATTCTAGTGTGCTTCAGAGATTGGATAAGATCGTAACGACGAAATCAAGAGCGTGACGAGGTAGATGAAGCGGAGGACCAAGAAATTAGAGATATAATGGTTTATGGTGTTGATTCAACCAATGCCGGAAATCAAGAACCTCATGTTGACATGGATAAACTTATAAAAATGATGCAAAGCATGTGATGTACTATTTCTTTTTATTTTTTTATTTTTTTATAATTGTTGTAAACTTTTAATTTGCAAGTTCAAAAATAATAATATAAAAAAAGAACTTGCAACTTAATTTGAAGTATTATATATTATTCAATAAAAATATCAAATGAAAGTCTTCGGAGCTTGATCCTTACATATTGTCTATTAGTCTTATTAAATAATTTTTTGTAGCCACTTACTTTCAAATTTCACTTTTAAAATTATAAAATTCAAATTATAAATTTAAAACTTTAAACTTCAAAGTTTAATTCTAAGCATTAAAAGTTTTCAAACACTTAAGTATTAATAACATTGAATAAGAAAAATAAAATTTACTTTAAAAAAAAAATTCACGGCCCGCTAACAGCTCACTAACAGCCCGCTAAGTCCGAACCCGGACGAATAAAAAAAACCCGAAAAAGTACAGCTCGCTAACAGCCCGCTAACTCAGCCCGCAACGTTAGACGGACGGGCTATTTTTTTTTGTGTCCAGCCCGTCCCAGCCCGCCCATTAAACACCTATATCAACATTTGCCTTTATTTACCCTTTTACGTTACAAAAGGTGAGGCTTGATTTACCTTATTTAATGGCAGAAGCTTTTAACATGTGAACATGATCAAACTTATTCTTGAACTATGCAAAATTGTCCTAAGTTTATTCGAATGCAGAAACCAAAGAGAACGTTTTGTAAGAGTTGCCTAAACTGAGTGACCTAAATGTCATTACAAAGGGCACGCCTCAAAAAGTGTTCATGTATATTCTTTTGGCAACACTTTTCAAGTTTAGTTGATAAGTAGGGATTTTGATGGATTATTTGTTCTCTTTTACTTGCGATTTAGCTCAAAAATACTTAAAGGCATTCTCGAAAATTAACAAAATGTGCTTACTTGCAGAAATATTGGGATGTGAGCCAAAGAAGTCAAAATCAACTCATAAAGGAGTCAAAAGTGGCAAAAATGCCAGCAGTGCGGCCGCAGAGAGGAGATTCAGAGAATGGTTTTTGGGCAAGCTGAAGGAGTGCGGACCACACCAAAATTGTGCGGCCGCAGAATATCAAGTGCGGCCGTACTCACTATTATGCGGTCCGTAGGAGTGAAGAATCGGAGAGTTGGATTCAAGTATAAAATCAAGGAGTGCGGACCGCATTATTTTTATGCGGTCGCACAATGATACGCGCGACCGCACTCATTTTTATGCGGACCGCAGAAGCCCCAAAGATCCAAGCCCAAAATTTCAAAAATACGGACCGCACAATAATTGTGCGGCCGCATAAGCTCAATGTGCGGACCGCACCAGAATTGTGCAGCTGCACAACCTCCGCAGGGGCAATTTTGTCAGATATTTTCATCTTAGTCTAAATAGAACTTTTTGTCATTTTTAGGTTAAGTGACGTTGGAGAAGAGCACCTGAGCCATTTTCTTTGCTATTTTGAGGATTTTTGTACTAGATTAACATCTATACATTAGATTTTCTTTCCATAATCAATTAATATGCATTCTATCTTAATTTCTTCTTTGATTTATGTACTTTTCATGAGTAGCTAAATCTTTAGCTAGGGTTGTGACCCAACCCTAGTGTGGGTATTTGAAAGGTGTTTAATTTATGGCTTATTTTTTATTGGGTTAGTGATATTTAGCCTTGTTCATGATTGAATCCTAGAATCAATGGTTGCAAATACTGATTCATGCCTATTTGACTTAGCCTCTACTAGAGAAAGAGAGACTAAGTCTAGAAAAACTTGGCTAACAAGAAATTGGGGTGAACTCAAGAAATTGATAGCCCCAATTAAAGGATTAAACCTAGAGATAGTAATACCCGACTTGAGCTAATATTATTTGTATTGTGCAAATACCCAATTGGACTTGAGAAATCTAAATTGGGCAAAATCACTCAAACTACCGAGAGGTATAGAGTGAGTACTCGGATGTGATTGCTACATCATGATCCTAACTAATCAAATTTGCCCTGAAATTTACAACTCATTAGATAATCACCTAGGTAGAAGTCACGACCCTAGTCTCTTTTAATCATTTGAAAAACTCAAAACCAAAAATATTGTCCTTAGTTTTATACTTGCAAACAATAGAGTAAAGTAGAAGTAGAACACCAATCAACTTTGTGGAAGTGTAATTGGAGCCAAAACTTGCAATTAACTTAGATATACACCTAATCCCATATTCTAACTCCCTGTGGATTCGATCCTAACCTTCGTTGGGTTTATTATCGCATCGACCGCCTCACTACTTAATTGTGGTGTGGGTTTGGCCGAGATCAAAATTTGACACCGTTGCCGGGGAGTTAAATGGATTTAGCTATATATCTAGGTATTTGTGTGTTTTGTCTTTCTTTCCTTCCGAGTCACTAATTTTGTTTGTGAATTGAATTTAGGTACAAAATGGCCCTTAACAACGAGACCCTCAAAAATTTACCATTGGGGGAGGAGGTAGATGATGATCAGGTGGATGAGGTTCATCCCGAGCCTCAAGTAAACAAGCGAGGCCGACCGCCTCATGATGATGTCCCAAACCCTCCCCCACCACTACCAAGAGCAGCGCACCGGGTGTTACCGAACGAGGGCTATGCAAGTACAATAGTCCCGCCCTGGATTAGGGTGGGCAACTTCAAAATAACCAACGTGATGCTTACACTGTTTGAGCAGCGGGGTTTCTTCACCGGAGCTCCACACCAAAATGCCTACAAGCATCTCAAGGGTTTCGTCGATACTTACTGGGGGGCAAGCAAACAAATGTCTCTGAGGATGCACTGCGGTTAAGGTTGTTTCCCTTTTGTCTATGGAGAAAGGCTTTGGACTGGTTAGAGAGATTGCCCAATCATTCCATCCACACTTGGGATGAGTTAGCCGAGAAGTTCATTGCCAAATTCTTCTCTCCGGGGCATATGGCTACACTAAGGGATGAAATTCTAGCTTCCAAACAAGAGCCCAATGAGCCATTGCACGAGATTTGGGAAAGATATCGTACCATGGTCAAAGAATGCCCGAACAATAATATGACCGAGGCCATGATCCAACAGACCTTCTACATGGGGATCAACACAATGAATTAGTGTGTGGTAAATTAAACTCGCTGGGGGTAACTTAATGAACATGCCTTATTCTGAAGCTTATGAAATCTTGGATGAGATGGCGGACACCTCTTCGGCGTGGCAAAGTAGAGCCAATGTTCCTTAGGGTGACCCAAATGTTATTCACCTACACAAGGAGCTACATTATCATGGGCAAGCTATTGCGGAGTTGACAACCACCATGAATCAATTGGTCAAGGCTCAGCTTCAACAGGTTCAAGGGCCGAAACAGGTGAATGCTATGGAAGGGGTGAACATGATGGTAAATAAGAGACGACAACGAGGTCAACAAGTACAAAACCATCCAGAACAATTTGAGCAAAGTAATAGTGGGTATAATCAAGATGATTCATATGATGAGCAAGATGAAGAGGTTCAGTATGTCAACAATTACCAAGGTCAAAGAAGTAATGCTCCAAATCAACAACAATGGAGATCACAAGGAAACCAAGAAAATTGGAACAACCAAGGCCACTAAGAAAATTAGAGTGGTAGAAATAACAATAATCAAAGCAATTGGGATAATCAAGGCAATTAGGGAGGAAATAATCAAGGTAATTGGGTGGCAACAATCAAAGCAACTGGGGAGGCAACAATAATCAATGGGGTTAGAACAATAGCAATCAAGGAAATTGGGGGTCGGGCTTTCAGAGGCCCCCGATGTATCAATAACCAAATAACCCGTCTCTATATCCATCGCAAGGTCCTAGTTCTTTCAATAGTGAAATGGGACGGATTGAAAACATGTTTAAGCAAATGATGGAGAAACATGCCGACTTTGATGCCCAATTAGCCTTCCACAACACTTTTATCCGCAACTTGGAGGCTCAAATTGGCCAAATTTCTCATGCTTTAAATACTCGCCCAAAGGGGGCACTACCTAGTGATACGGTGGTGAACCCGAAAGGTGGAAATACGGGGCAT